ATCTTTCCATTAACATTGTTAAGGTGATTACGTCATTTCTGGTGCCCTTGTCAGCTTCACAGCTGATAAAATAATGTATCATCTTGTAATATAAGGCGGTTTACAGTACAACAGGATCATAATATTAAACAGTAAATCGTATTCAGACTCGAAAACAAAATCTCTTTCCTCTTTAGTTTAGTTTAGATTTAGTAGAGGTTTTACAGCGCTCACAACTGCATAAGGTCATTTGAGCGCCAGAAGAATAGACAGTTTCTGAAACCTTTCCCAGCCACCCCGGGGGTGGTGGGGGCGGGGGGGGGGGAGTATTCAAGGACAAAGTAGGGGATCGCTGGGTCCGCGTACAGCGCAGTGTGGACTTTATAAGTTATAACCAGGGTTAACTTAGCCGGTCACTTTTAGTCAGCTGTAGTGGACAAGAGATAGGCTGCTGATAATAGTTCTTATTCAGTTTCAAGTAAATCCAAATTAATATTTATCAACATTCAAATAGCACTTTCCCTATAAAAATACGCTCAAAGAAACAATAAGGGTTCGCCGATGTGTTGTCGCACCACAGAAGTTCGTTCCTAAATCTCAGTTTATCTAGCTGGCTCACAACGTTGTTGTTACCATGTGCTGTCTCGATGCGCGCCTTCGTATCGCGCGCTCTGTGGTGACGTCACCCAGCTCGGCGAATTGAGTAATTGCCCTCAAAGTGGGAAGAGCCCGCAGGATACTCACCTTTCTTGCCAATTTGGCTCTTCTGTAATTAACAAAGGACAAGATAAAATTGAACAGCACATCTTATTGTTTCATCAGTAACATTTCTCATTAAACCTGTCTCTAGTCACTGTCAGTTAACACTTCCATGTACTATCATGATGGCTTAAATCGTTATTGCTAATTGAATTTTGAGACACCCATAGTTCTTTTTGTTGTTCTGTTCACCGTTTACTTCCTGTTACAACTTAACCTGGCCCCAAAAGCACAGGCCGGCTTGTCGGTGGTTTGACCAGTCTTCGTAATAAAGCAGGACATTTAACAGAAGTGAGAGTCGAGGGTTGACTAGCGAACGGCACTTAGCTGTCAGTCTGGACCCCGCCGCCCCTTCCCCTCCCTTTTCCCTTTCTCCGTTGTCACCCCAGCCCGACTCTGTGTTCTAAAAGTAGTATTTGACATAGCTCCCCACTTAAAACAGTGCTCTGAGAATTGCGATTGGACATTGTTATGTGCTTGCTTTTTTCAATGGGTGTGTGTTAAGTGTATTGTAGGCCTATAATTTCGGATTCTACCTAAACTTGGTCTGCTTGGGACAGCGTCAGTAGTGTGGTATCAATTTGGTTTTATGTTTCTACAGACTACATATACTATGAGTCAACTCGTTGAATATTATTTGTTTGTATGTGTGTTGCTTTGTGAAATATGTGAGTGGGAGGCCTACCGGAGGGGGGGGGGGGGGTGAGAGGAAAAGACCAAAAGGGGCTTAAAAAAAGTTTGACTGGGGGGGGGGGGGGGGGGGGGGAAAAAAAAAAAAATAAAAAGAAACCCCCGGGTGGTTTTCCAAACCCCCCGCCCGCCCCTGGTTATGTCCCTTATGCTGCAAGGCCCTACGGTAACGATAAAGGCCGACCCAGTTCAACTTGAAACGTTGCTGGCAAACAAATAGCGCTCTGATAAAACTCCAAAAGGACTAGCAAGCCGCGTTTTATAGGCCTATCATTGCTCTAAAGAATTTAATACAGACATACGAACGGACTGGTTGAGTCAAAAACAGTTGTGTTGGGACCGGTTTCGCCAGCTGTGTATTTCGTATTTTTAGAGTGACGAGATCTTTTCAATCTGAAATCTGGTTGGACATTACATTTTGACTAGACTGCGGGCGTCCGCTGTCAGCAGTCTGCATGCCGTCTTCAGTCAGTTAAGCTTATGAGGATAGGCCTAACGGCTGGACATTCTCAGTACTCGACGCATCACAGACAAGCTGGTAAGTGAGTGTACTGTAAACTCAGGTGATAACTTTTCAACTTGGACGTATGCTAGTTTTGAAGGTTTTTGTCAACAATAAGTGTATTAGACTTACGTTTCCGTGCGTTGGATTGCACAAATAGGCCTACTGTCAGATTTTCCAGCCATATTAGGCTAAGCATCAAGTCTATCATAATACACCTCCTGTGCTATCTAGTGAAAATGGCAATTTCAGAATATAAAAAGCTTCAATTAAAGAAAAAAATTACGAACCACCGAACTACTGGTACCATTCGTTCTCAAAATATCATCATGGTCAACAAATCCAGGACGCATAATTGTCTTGATAGATCTACTATTTTGTTTTGCAGTGAAAATAAGACAAGAAACTACAATAACACTTTAATCGAACTCGGTTTCTGCGAAAATGTCGGTTACGTAACTCGGCGCACCAGCAGTGGAGTTTTAGTGGAAACTGGGGGTTCCCCACCGAGCGCCTTATCACATCGGGGTCACAAAGGTCAGATCCCTGTCGCCGCTCCCATCATGGTGTTGCCTGCTCTGCTAAAAATAGAGCACCTTGACAGGAATGGCTGGTGTCTTTATAAACTGTTAATGATACATTTTGGTACCTTTCAGCTTAAAGTTTTGCGTGAATACTTGTAGCCATGATCCTTATCATTTAACGCACCTAAGATATGGAATTCTGCTTTTGAGACTCAAAACCCCCCCACCAAATAAATAAATAAATAAATAGATAAATAAATAAATAAATAAATAAATAAATAAATAAATAAATAGATAAATAAATAAATAAATAGATAAATAAATGAATGAATAGATGAATAAATACTGGTAACGAAGACTTGGCAAGTTATTTTTGTTGAAGCTAAAGTGTGTTTTGTTTAGACGTTAGTGATCTTCACGAATCAGTATAGAAAACCTCGGCTGTAAGAACATTGCGAACCTTTGAAACAAAGATACACAATATAGATCTAAATAGAGGTACTCACAGAAGGACGTGTCTGCCGAGATGGTGGTATTCATAGAAAACTGTATTTCTGCTCGTTTATTCACTAAGAAAGCATCACAATGAGCTGCAAGTCATTTAGAAATGTTATTATTCCTACAAAAATCTTTTCAAATCTTAACTGCCAGGTACATTCGTGAATATCTGAATGTTTACACAAAGGTTTATCAGAGTTACACTGAGATCTCTCCATGCATAAGTGCAAATCTATTGTTGTGACATAAAACTTGTACTGCTACTCAGTGTAACCCATGCACCCTGTTTGTCACACTCAATAAACCCAATCCTTTTCAAAGACTAGTTTTAAGTTTCTTAGTATCGTAAATTGACTGAAGCTCTTTGTCCACTTGTACTTGTAATAACTTTGTTTTCAAAAGAAATTCTAGCTTTTTGTTAACTTTGTTAGTTCCACAAGTTTTTAAAATCTAGTTTTGTAATCTTTTGGCTTCCATTCCCTGCTCCCCTAAAGAACCAAACCCTGACTTGTGTTTCTCCACCAAGTTGATGCAATGACGCACACGAGCTGTCCACTCACGAAAAGTGAAGAGAGATCATATAAATATTTGTAATTTCTGTTTATCGCATCAAAGGCTTAGATCTTGGTTATAATGAATTAAAAAATGGGCGGTATTTTAATGCGTCTTTTGGAGCTAAGCTATTCTGTGGAATTATCTAAAATGAATATCCGCCAAATTTCTTTTGACTTTCATATACGTATATAGCATTCGCATTCAAAGTTGAAACGCAAAGCTTCGGTGTGGATGAAAATAATTCACAAAAAGTTAATTATAACGTTGGATTTTGTTCAGATTTTTTCATCACCTGTATCTCGACTTTTATTCCATTACAAGCAAGGCAAATGTTTGGGTTTTGAGAGTATACCAATAACTCTTTATGTTCAATAATTGATGAACGCCTGACTCCAGCGTGTCGCAACACAATATGTCTGTGGGAATGTTCTTCTGTTGCACAAGCGCTCTCGGAGACGTCAACTTCAAACACTTTTTGAAAGAAATGAACGGATGCCGGGAAACAGATATCAGAATTTTTTTCCGGCAATACATTTTTTCTGTCTCAAAAGTTAAGATTTGACTGCAAGGATTCCTTTGTAGCCTACACACTATATATGAGGCAGCGTGGTGGAATCAGGCTCTCGTCAAAATAATCAAAGTGAAGAAACTTGCATTTTTCTGCAGGTTTGTGAATTTTTATCGAAATTTTGTTTTTTGGCTCAACACCTTTCATGCCCGTTAAAGAACTCATTTCTGTATGGCTTTTTCTGAAAAAACATTGATAGAGGGCACACAAAATGTACATTTTCAGTTACCACGGACTCTTAAGCAACGGAAATAACTAATCTTTGGCGGTCATTTTCTCACTAATTTTACCACTGAAAATATGTGACCCCCACCTCCTTCATTCACAAATATCTCGACTTGTATTCAAGATAACTGGATATTTTTTTTACATCCAAATAAAGACAAGTGAACAAGCTTTAGGATGATACCAATAACTCTACATTCCAAAAATTGACGAGAGCCTGATTTCACCACGCTGCCTCACATATGTACATGTATCTTGATTCTTTCTGGTGTCATTAATTGTTGTATCAACAATTGTTCCTTTAACTTTGCTTTCTCAACGTTAGTGGTGTAGCAGTTACGCCTTTTGCTATTGCTTACATAAGATATGAGATTGATTCCCGAGTATAGAGACATTTATATTAAGTATCTCCATCTGTCTCCTGGGATGTTGTACCGCTTCCTGCCTAATCCCAACCTGCCCTGTACGTGATCTAGATTGTGTCGATGCAGAGATACATTAGCCATAACGTTTTATTTACCAAATTACATCTGTAATAATACTCATGACTAATGAGTATAACTGAATAGACTGACTGTAGTGACATGATTCTAAATTTAGATTCTAATGTATCGGAGGGTAGTAAATGAATCTTAACTTGTTTATGAATTGAGTTGATAAAAGACCTCTCTATCATATTTTGATATCATCTCTGCCACAGATACCCCAAGCACCAACACGAAACAGCCCACAGTATGCCATGAACAACGACATTCATTAGGCCACGGTAGCCCTGAACAACGACATTAATTAGGCCACGGTAGCCCTGAACAACGACATTAATTAGGCCACGGTAGCCCTGAGCAATGACATTAAACAGCAAAGTGTAGCCACAGACCAATGTAGCCCCGATGAACGACGTGAAAAGCTGTTCTTGTCTTGAATATCTATGTGAAAAATCCTTTTGTAACATTGGATAACGACGTCAAACAGTCCACTGTAGTCACAAGTAGCGCCGTAGCAAAGGCCACATCAGCCCCGTGCAGTGACAAAGTAGAAGCCATTGTAGCCACAAGTAGCGACTTGACCCAAGTCACTGGGCCTACGCGTTGCAAAATGGCACAGACCACTGTAGCTTCGGGCAGCGACAAGGCACAAACCACTGCCACAGTTACTGATATGATTGACTTCACAGGTAAGAAAGATGTCAAACTGTGGTCATTACAGCATACATGTATATATATATATATATATTGGTCTGTCTTTTTGAATGGTCCAAATGATATCCCTATTATATGTCACTTAAAACTAGTGGAAATTGTGCAGGGTATCACTAAACCTAACTCTGGAAAGAAATAAGCCCACACATATCACTTGTGCGTGTTGGAAAGCGCAGTTGAAATCCTATGCTGTATTTAGCTACACATTATGTATATTGAAGTAAAAACCGGTGGCGAAGTCCGAATTGTTTGACAGAGTAATCAAAATGAGACAAAGGACCAGACTGAGATGAGGCAACGCACGAAACGTTTTCCCACAAAAATAGGAACCCATCAACAATTGTAACAAAACTTCTTATTCGAGGCGGCATTACGGAGTTGTGAATGACACCATGGCGTCGGTAGTTTAGTGGTTAGACAGCAGACTAGTGATAGTAACGTTGCGGGTTTTTGGTTGAGCCTCAGGCCCGATGTTGTGTCCTTGGGGAAGCACTTTACACGAATTTTCCTAATTTCATCCAGGTGGAAAAGAGAGGTGGGAATGGGTACTCGGTCATAGACAGCGAAAGATCTTGTCTGTATGTTAGCGTTTTAGTGCCTATAAAATGGCAGCTTTTACTGTATGGTTCCTAGGAAGTTGGGATTGTTTCAGAATGTTATCAGGATTGCTTGCGTAATAATGTAGATTGTAAAGCGCCCAGAACTTACTGTTGAGTGAGAATTTATGTTGTACATTTATCATTGGTTGGTGCTCTGGGGTGGTTTGCTCCTTCATTCCTATCAAACATCTATCCTCATTTCTCCTTCCTCTGTTTGTGTTTGTTACTGCTGCAGGAACTCATGAAGTGGAGGAGAATTGTGCTGAAGCCGGCGGCCCCCTCTCTCTCAACGCATGCTCAAAGAACCCCGGACATCCCCAGTTCATACCCGTGGATGAGTTCAGTGAGGACCACGTGAGATCGGTGATACATAAAGATGAGCACTGGCCTGTGGAGCTGGTAACGGACTTAGTCAGATGTTGTCAGAACTTAGTCGTCAGGATTAATGCGCCCTTCGTCAGCAAAGATAGGCCAGATGGCTACCCGTTTGCTCGATACAGAGGAACACGCACAGATAAAGTTGGCAGTGGCTTTGTATCGCACTCGGTCGAAGCGTTAGCAAAGCCTTGTGGTTGCTGGGAATGTAAACAGGAGAAACCGGATGCCAAGGAAAACAAGGACAAGTGGTACAGCATTATAGATTTTAAAGTGGAGACTGCACGTCACGTGGTTTTTGACGACGCTGAAGCCAGTCAGTGTGAAGTCGTGTTCTTCGATAATCAGCCTTCCGGCACTGGCCGTTTCACACTGGCTGGGGGCTGGCAGGTAGACAAAAACCATACAAAGAACGATTACTGTGTACTGTATCGGACTACCCATCTTGTGGATCAAGGTAAAAGACTGTTGAATTTCTATAAGACGTACGAAGATTTACGCTTTCGAGACCATAGGGAGACAAACTTGTCTCGTTCGCCTCGGATCCCGGCTGCTGTCATCTCCCACCCACACGGACGGATGAAGTACATTACTCTCGGCCACATTGACGCTCTACACGGGACGGGGGAAGAAAAAGACAGGCGTCTCCTCTACACCGTGCCTACATGTCCCGGCAGTAGCGGGGGCATGGTCCTACGCCTGGATTATTGGAACAGTATTTGGTCCCAGGCCAAACCTCACTGTTCAGCACGACCCAAGTTAGGTAATCAGGGCTTTAGCGTTGTGCCAAGTGGGGATTTTGCACAGCCAATGCCAGCTTTATATAAAAAACCCGTTGACAGACTTTAGAGTTCTCTACGTTGTCCCCTGTCTTTCCATGTTATTTAATTTAGTTGTACCATCTTTTTCCCCACGTCTATTCTGTTTCTCACATCCATGTTCCATCCCCTATTTTCGTTGATTCTCAGTATTTGAAGTCTCTGACATTTTTTTTAGCTGTGTTCCATTTATTTTTTAAAATCTGTTAGAGGCTTTGATTTCCAGTTTCTGTATTGTACATGACTTTGGTGGTCTTTTTGGCATTTAGTTTCAGATCTTTCTCCGTTGCCAGCAGCATCTGCTCGATGTAAGATATTTGTCATGCTCGATACACTGTCAGCTATACGGGCTGTGTCGTTGTCATGTGTCTTAGATTAGTTATTGCTTCTGACTCTAAAATTGACTTCCATGTCATCTATCTCAGATTCTCTCACAATTTAATCTTTGTATATCATGTTGAAAAAAAAATGGGATGAGAGAATAAATAGCATTGTTAACACCTTTAAAAATTATATATATATTTACTGTGTTAATAATTCCGTCTTGTAGTTACGTTTTGGTTCATACATTTTGTTTCAAGAGAAAAAAAAAGATATTAAAAGTATCACCATTAAAATATTGGTCAGAGTAAGGAAAAGAGGTTCTGATCTCTTAAATCTGACTGAATAAATAAAGGCGTAAAGAAAACACAAATCAATTATTCATCCCTTTTTTATTTCAACGGGAGCGATGGCTTTTCAACAAAGAGGTGCCCTAAAACTGTTCGACAAAATTGTCCATTACCGATTATGGTTCTGTGACAGTCTCAGTGAATTGACTAAATCTATTACAATTTTCTTTCTTTTTTTTTTAGCTCCATTGGACGAGTTTTTTTGTCGCCGTGACGGCAATGCTGAATGTTCTAGATGAAATTGCCCCTGAAGTTGTAGAAGGGAAATTTCATAATGAATCACACCTTGTCAATGTGTGTGTATATTATATATAATGTAGGTATTTCATGTGAGTATGCTATGTGTGAGTATGTGTGTGTGTGTGTGTGTGTGTGTGTGTGTGTGTGTTTGTGTGTGTGTGTTTGTGTGTGTGT